CTTCCTTAGTGCACATGCTCTTGCCCCGCCCCCAGCCAGAGGCTCACCCAATTACTTCTTCAAGAAGCTCTCCAAGAGCATTCAGCCAGAACAAAAGGGTTAATTTCCAGAGCTTCCCCTTTACAAGGGAAGTTTCTTCTGACTTGGAAAACAACTCTCAAGTACAAATGGAGAATTGGCAGCAGACCAAAAGAATACTACTGGCAGGTCACCATGGTCGCTACTGAAAATACTATATAGTTTTGAGGGCAAGAACTGCATTTTCTCATACTGGAGTTGAGATGGCTTGGTTTAAAGCTATTTAAGGCTTTATTTGGCCAGAACCAGAAATATGAATTGTGCCTGAGAACTATTAGTTGTTTGCAAGCAGCATTTTCTATTTTAATATGATACTAAACTTGCTGTAGTATGTAACTCTTACATTTTGCTAAAATTATGGTAACATACATGCCTTGTATTCAAGGTGGAAAATAATGGCTGAGAATCCTTGCCATTCTTGTAGTATTTGCAGTATAAACATGGAGGTTTTTTTAAAAATGATTTGTCTGTATATTGATACATCTTGCTCTGCTGTGCCTATTTTAGGAGACAATGAAAATTGTTTGACCTTCTCAGAATTTACTCAAATGGAAAAAAAATCCCACACAAAGAGTGACATGTTTTGGTTTTATAGGAATTCTGTTGTGTCTCTGGTTTAATAGATTTTGCAAAATAGCAACTTGAATAAACTCATTGAATCAATTTGATACCTTAAATCAGTTTGACAGTAAATTCAGAAAATACATGTTAACCCTATTCAGTACTTTGACTTGAATTTCTACATTAGTTTGAATAATCGAGTCAGAAAAGTTCAGCATGCTTTTAGGAAGCCATATTACTTGATTTAATTTCTTGAAATGAGTTGGGTTTTCTAGAAAGTTCTCATGACTCACCTTGCAAATATGTGGTCCCATTTATTGTTAGTAAAATATATACACTGTATTATTTGCAACATTGTTATATTTATAAAGGCTTGCTTTTGTAAATGCAGCCAGTTTTATGACCCTAATGTATTCACATTTTGCAGCCACCTTTTCTTGCAATGGTTTTACTATGCAGTGTGGAAATTACTGTAACCAAGATAGTAATATGCCACCTTAGAATTATATGGATTAGAGGATTGGAAAGAACATGAATAGATGTATGAATAAGAATTAAGTTTTAATTGGAAAATTAGAATTTGAATGATGATATAAGAAAACCATGAAATAGATATATTTTGAATGTTTTAAGTGGTTGTGATTGTAATGAGTAATTATATTATGTTTATTTGTATTGAAATGTATGATACTCAGATACCACACCATTCACACTTTGATATGTATAAACAACATAAAATAAAAAAAGGTGATATAAAAAAAGATGATGAATTCCTGAATTTTGTTCCTGCACTATATATTTGTAGTTGGCATAGTGTATGTTTGTAAAGCAGCCATAAAGTGAGATTTGGACATTAAGTGTGAAACCTACTGGGTCAGGCTGGACAGCCTCTTAGAACCC